AGTCCACTCATTTGTCATTTGGTTTTTGGCTTCGGACTTTGGACTTTGGACTCACTCTTGCCATATTTCATAAATAAATTTCATCTCTGGAGCGGGGAAGAGCTGAAATGGAATGGGAGGCATAATAACCCATATAAGTCAAGGGCTTCCTCCACTCATAATTTCATCTTTATTGACGACAAGTCTCCACCATGGAGTGCTCGTTGTCCAGTTCCATTTCCATCTGCCACTTGTTTCGAGTGTGTTTACGATAGTTGGTACTCCGTACTCCACTCACTCCACACTCTATCTCCACCAGCTTTGGGTTTTATCATTTTAAGGGGCAGTGTTAGCTCTAATGACTTAATCCTCATGTAAAACATTTCGTAATTTTACACTCCAGCGAAGCCTTTTGATGCTTTTTGAAGTTACGCATAACCTTTTATCGCTTTATTTGTGTTAAAGTGTGAGATAAAAATGAAATAGGGTTATCCCTCGATTGTTTTCTGATGAATAACAAATGCAATTACTTATTACAATTAATTAAAGTTAATTTATTTAAATCAAATACGCTTTAGACAATGAATTTATCTTTGATAACCTTTTTATTTTTCCCAAAAATGGCCCACAAATATTGTGGAATTGAATCACATAGCATCACGGGCAATGAACAAAAATTATATCAATAAATTTGGCATACATTTTGCAGCTTAGTACCATGAAACCACAGTCAAAGTGTTAAGGCATGTTAATGGCTTTTAATGGCATCAAAGTGCCGCCCAAATGTCTCTCAAAAATATATATGTAAATGTTTCTATGCATCAAAAATATTTGGTGAAAATATTTGCGTTATCTCACTTAAAAAGCGAAAAAGTGGACAACACAAAAATAACTGCAAAATGGAAATTCAATGTAAAAAGATTTTGGTCATCAATCATTCCGTAGAAGAGGCAGGAAATATTCAAGGAATTCAAGGAAAATGCAAAGGCATCCTGAACCCAACACACAATCCAATCCGTTCGCTCAGCAATTACATACATACATATACGAGCAGATATATATTTTATTTATGTGTACAATATATCTAACTGCGATTGGTTTACATGAGAAATGTGTTCTAGAGATATTTTTCGGTTCGATTTCACTTCAAAGCAAATGCAGCAGCAGCTGCACAAACACGATAAGGATGCCGATGAACAAGCACCAAAAAATACTATGCAGAAAGAAGCATACACTATGTACATACATATGTACGTACATACATTTGATTCAATTCAGCAATTTGCATTTCGAATGCCTAGGTCTGCAGGATGAAAATTGATTTCTATCTTTTTGTCAAATGGGTAACAAGAAATAATTGCTTCGATTTGCATTCTGTAAATGAACTTTCAACTATCATTTGGAGCTTCTAATTGCTTTTGGTAATATTTCTTTGCTCCGTTCATCTGTTGAAGCCTTGAAATATGGTTCCCATTTGTATGCTTAAAGATCAAATTGAATAAAGTTTTAGACATTTATGCAACCTCAAAAGGGTTGAAATTTAAGAACTTCCTTTCGGTGTGCCCAAATAAGTACATAAGTAGCACACAGGAAAGGGATGAGCTATAGAGGATATGGATATGCATTGTAATATATGGGATAAATGGAGGATATAAAACGGCAGCGACAGCCAAAAACGTACAGGGCAGGGGCACCCAAAAAAAAAAAAGGACTACTCACACGAGGACCATCTCTGCCATCATTCTTATTATGTGGGGGGGTTTCTGTGTTCAGGCTGCAGCTGGTAATGTCATGCAAAAACTCAATAAATTTTGCCCAAACGATTTATCATGAGCTTGATTACGAAAATGCAGACACAATCACAAAATATCTGCCTGTGTGTGTGTGTGTAAGCCACACACTTAGCATAGACGCACACAGCGACACAGTTGCATGCATAAAATAATATGGCAATATTATAATAGACATTCAACAAAAGCATCAGCCAGCAGCAACAACAGAAGGAAGGTTTGGCCGTGTGGGTGTCGAACATTCAGATACCCTTGAAAAGTGCATAGCTACACATGTATATGGAAAATAAATAGATACATGGGTTTATAAATTCATAAATTATTGAATTAAAAGGAAAATAATTTAACTACAGTTCTGGGTTTTCCTTTGTTTCCTTTGTTTATCTCTCGCAGAGTGGCTTAGCAGTTAATGGGTACTGTGCAGACATGTCTTTATTTTCTAAGTTCTACAAACTTTGCCCAAAATCATAACACCCTTCCTTTGTCGCTGTGAAAGGATATGGAATGGCCCTGACTTGCCATTTTTCACATGTCAGAGCATTGATTTGCAGTTGTTGCCACAAAATGGTAGCAGGGGGGAGTTGTACCGTTAGTAACCCACTAATGGATTGTTGCCCCATCATCCCAATACCCATTTATATGTAGTGTTTGTGTGTGTGTGTGTGTGCGTAATGGCTGGCTCTTTTTGGGTTTGGCTCTGCTTTGGCCCGAACCATTTGCTGGGTTCAAGAAAGGTTCAACAACTAAATTAACATGAATTGTGGCATGAAAATTGACAACAGCGCATTCGATTATACATAAATATGTACTCATAGATGAGGCTTTGAAGTGCCATGTAAATGTATGTGGGGGGCGGGGTCCTTTAAAATAAAGGACATTAACAGGTCTCGCTTTGATTTATGAATGGATTAGATGGAGCACCGGCAGTGCTGCGCCAGCCAGGATGGTATGCAAATTAATAAATTAATATTTTATAATCGAATTTTGTCCGTGATTTGCATATTTAGTTGAGGGCGCAAAGGATGCGAAGGCATTTAAACAATCGCTCAGTGTCCTGGGTCCATGCGAGAGAGCACTCACTCGTATTAACTGCAGATTGTCAGAGCTGCCAAAGAGTCTGTCCAACGAAATTTAATTTACTGCACAGGCACGAACGCCACACGACATCGATGCACTTTTGGCCAGAGCTTGACATTCCCACAGCGCCTGTCACTTTGGCACCACACGAAAACCCCCAACCCAGCCCAACCCAGCCCAACCCCCAGCCAAAGGCAAAACCACACCAAGTGGACCCGACCACCCCGAGATCCAGCCCAACAACCAAGTCGAGGAGGCTCAGTAAATTAATTAACTTTATTGTCTGAGCGAGAAATGCAAGGATGCCCTGCCCTGCCCTGCCTTGTGTGTGTCCTGTGTCGTAATTTGATTAAAGAGCTCTAACAGCAGTCCCTATACATACATACATACATACATTTCTCTTCAATATACATATGTATGTATGTACATATTTCATTATCAATTTGATGAGAACATTTATCATTTTTCGGTAAAGTTTGAATTTAAATATATGCCATGACAGCCATGAGATTCAAGATGAATCATTCGAATAAATAGATGATTTCTCCATTCTAATTTAATATACATCGACCTAGACTAATGGACTCAAAGCAGAGGCAGGCCAAGGCAGAACACTGTCTTTGATAAATATTGACACAAAGGAGAAATTAAATTAAATTGTCTCCAGGGAAGAAGGAGGAGCTAAACAGTCTAGAGATGTTTCCAAACTTATTTGCAGTTGGACTTTTCAATTATTTATAGAGAAATCATTTCTGTTTTTTAGTAATTGCTCGTGCGCACAAAAGTATGTAATATAAAATAAATAATCAAATGTACATAAATAATTTTTTCAATTTAAAATAAATAAAGTACAGGGGAGCACAATACGAGGTGTATGTATGTATTTGTTAATGAAGCAACTACTCGAAAATCTGATTACGCAGCCCTCCGTTGCACTGTGGCACAAAAGCGCACTTTCGCACTTAAAAAGTTGTACCCTCCTTTTTGCTGGACTCATTTTGTATGCACATAAATTGCAAAAAGAACTGATGGAAAGCAGGAGCTTCAAAAAGAGACAGACAGCAACGAAAAGAAGACACGAAAATACAATGAAAAGTAAAATAAATTAAGGACTACTCCAACTGAAAAGGTGAAGTCGATGAAAATGCATTGCAATTTTTCGCTGAGCTTTTCATTTAAATGCGAGTATATAAAAATAGTAGAACAGTGGACCCCAATTTTTAGTTGATTTCCATACAATTTTAATGTGCTCCCCGCTCCCCGCTCCCCCTTCGCATTCATCATTCTCCTCCAACATTCCCCTCAATTTCCGCTCCTTTTCCACTCACTCAGACTCTCCCTCCCTAATTTGATTTGCTTCTTGCATTTTTTTCCCTTGCTTGATTTTAACGAATTACGTTTATTCCTGCATATAGAAAAAAAAGGTAAAAGAAAAACTAACTAAAAAGGTGCAGCAGCAGAAAACGCAGAGGGAGAAAATTGAGAATGAGAAAAAATGTCTCCTCGTAGCTCACTTGGTATTCGATTTGCCAACAACAAGAAAATTGTCGATACGATTTGCAGAAATGGAACGGGTACTAGGAGCAGGAGGGACGACTCGACTCGGCTGTGATGATGAACTGATTTATGTTTGCTTACATTTCTCCTCACTTTTTCATTGCACTTGCCATTTTATTTGCCCTCCTTCCACACTACCCTGAATTTAAGCGCAATTCGTTTTCACTTTGGCAATTTTAATTTTGATGGTAAACGTGAGTTAAAGCACTGAACATCGTAAAAATAGTTGAATAAATTCTTAAAATATTTTAATATTAGTTCTTGGAGCAAGGGAAACACACAGAGAAATCATTCCCAAAAAATGCATGCGAATAAGCGTGGACTTTCAAGGAAGTTGGATCGGAAATACCTTATCTCTAGGGACACAAAATGTACTCAAAATATATTACAATTTTCCCCTCTCATTTAAATTCTCTCAATTTTCTGAATCATCAAAAGTAAAGAATTATAAAACTATAGAACAATAAATACCCTGAAATCTCGGATATTTTATATGCAAAAAGACCATTACCCCAGAGAATTTTCAGTCCGATAAGACTAATGGGATAAATACTCATATATAAGTTCCTTTTATAGCGCTCACTGCAATCAGTTGGACTTCTGTTACAGTTCAGTAAACAATTCGATAAATAATATCTGAGAAATTATTAAAATGAAGAAGTTTATAACATTTTCAATGGTTCTGCTCATGGCGTTGTTTTTAGTCGGTGCCGCAATTGAGGAAGACTGGTAAATAAAAATACTTATATGGCATTCGATCAAGTGAACAATTTTGGTACCCCACAGCCCCACACCCAGGATAGGTGCAAAAATCTGGAAGTGCGATATCTCAAGATTAACAGAATACGGAAATCAACAAACAGTGGAGCAATGAATTGTTTTAAATTATATTAGTGCATGCCACAAACAGTGGCTTCTAATATTTATCTATGCCCAAAAATGAAGTAAAATAAAATATTAAACAAGTCGATCTCTGTGTTCTTTCGATTCCAAGTCTAAAGTTAGAGCATTTATTATAAGTTCTGTTGCAAGAGAGTTCTTAGAGCACACGCGCAAGCCATAATAAATAAGATGCACAAATTCCAAGCGATTTCCAGGTCCAAAGAACCTGTTTAAGCGCATTTATCGTTGGCTATTTGCTGTATCTAGATACTAAATTCATAGTTTCATGGAACGCTTGTCAATCAAAAGCGATTAGCAAACGGGTTCTACAGTTCCAAAGAAGAGAAGCATTGCCCCCACTGCAACGCGTTAATTGAATTCGATACTTAAAAACGAATCTCGCTGTCTCTCTGAGATTACACTCGTGTATTGGGAATTTCCTAGAAAGAGTAGGGCAAATCCACACGTACAAACAATAATGCGGTTTTCCCTGATAACAAAACGATCGTGGCGAAGGCAGCGTATAAAAGCCAATGGATGTGACTGCTCCAGACATCAGTTCAGTTCAAGCTTCTGTTGCAGTATCTTCCAAGATGAAATTCCTATCTCTTGCCTTTGTGCTCGGCCTCTTGGCTCTGGCTAATGGTAATTACATATAATCAAATGTTTAATTACATTAAATTAACCTTATTTCAATATTCTTCTCATTTTAGCTACCCCTCTGAATCCGGGAAACGTCATTATTAATGGCGATTGCCGCGTTTGCAATGTTCGTGGCGGAAAGTGAGGAATAGCTGAAATATAATCGTATACACACAATTTCTTATCGACTTTTGCTCTGACGTTTACACAATAAAATTCCCACACTAATCTCAATGGAAAGTGAATGAAACATATTTCTATTTAATCTCTGACCTGATTTCTATAGCGATTGAACGTGCTGTGCTGCCTGTGTCCTGTGTCATTAACATTTTCGTTTACTCTTGGGAGGCTTTCGTTTCATTGATCTGTTGTAAAATTGTTGCATAATTTCATTAATTTTCTGCTGCCGCACTGTTGGGTGCTTTATTGTCTGGATTAAGGAACATACTGTACACACACTTAATATGCACATAACTGTTATGTTAATGCCTCTGCCATAGCCCCCAATAACCACACACACACCACACCACACCATCTGCAATCCCCTTGGTAGAGGTATGTAGATAGGTGTTGCTGTCATTGATTGCGATTTTCTTTTTGCCGCTGTTGGCATTTGCATTGATTTATTAGCATTTTTGCCCCGCGCCGAGCCCTGTACCGAATCCTGAAAATGTGTCGCATATTTTCCAAGTGTTCCTCCCTCCGTGCTGGCGCCTCTTTAAAAATGCATAATAATTAATGCGTTATTTTAATATGCACATATATATTGCTGGTGGGATATTATAATTTCATCAGTTCACTCTGATAATTTGAGCAGCGAAATGGACCTTATTTAAGTGCTCATAAATCCCAATTTGCTGTGTGGGGAATAATGAATCATGAAATCGATTGACGCTACCCGTAGATAAGGACATCCACAGCCATATCCATAAAGGTGTAAGAGTTGTGGCCGGCTTCAACTCGATGTTGATTGAATGAAGAAATATGGCATTGTTTAATACATATTTACATCTGTCTGAATATTTCTGAACCAAGGGCATCGGTACTCTCTTTTCTTTTTGGTGAGCGCGCCGGCGAACAGCGAGAGAGAGCAATAGATAAAACCACTGAGAGAGCGTTGCAACGGAACAATCGAGAGAGAGCGTGTGCATTGCTTGCGCTTAGTAGCGATGCCCGTGAAATGAGCTTGCGGGTTCCGTTAGTCGACACGATCGATCACGTTCGGTGACCGGCATTGTTGTTGTTGCTGAGAGAGTAATGTAGCGAAGCAATTGGGAGGGCATGTCCATTGCGTTTGAAGAGCGAAGCAAAGCTTGCAGTTACACTGAAGATTAGTCGATGCCGGCTGACAGCTGAGTTCTCTTCGTGTTAATATACCGCTCTCTGGCATGCTTAGCATTTCATACATATTTACATGAGTATTTACATACTTATTTATAAACATTTATCTTTATATCGATCTCCTTCTTAGAGTCTGTTCATCAACGCTTACCTGCAATAAAAGAGATAAAAGAGATCTACATTAGAACTTTGTTCAATAAAAACAATAAAATATAAAAATATTTAAACATTTAAGAACTGCTCTTTGGCACCTTTTCAAGCATTCATTTGAATCATCTCACTGCACTCGCTCTAAATTTCGGGATTTTTATTGCCAAATTGCGAATGTAGATTTATGTCCCTGCAGCGCAAATCATCAAAAAGCATTTTGCAGGCACACAAAAAATTCCTCTTCACTTTTGAACCACAAACACTGAGGCACAAAGGCAAGGGGTGCCATCATCATCATCATCAGAGCAGCAGCAGCAGCAGCAGCAGAATCCAAACGAGCTGCAGCAACCAACAAAAAATAGAAGAAGGATAAACACGGTTCGAGGGTAGAAATACTCGTAATTTCAATACCAAAAGCAGCCCAATGCGCATAATTTAGCTGCAAATGAGTGAAGGGAACGAGAGTGAATGGCAAATCCGGGAGTGGAGGCATTGACTGCATTTCAGAGTTTGGCAAAATGGCAGCATAGCCTCAGCCTCAGCCTCAGCCTCACAGCAGGCTGACAGCCACCGCCACAGCCACAGCAAGGAGTCTGAATCTTGGCCATTTCGACGCCACTTCATGTCGTGGAGCGGTTTTAACTCGAACGATTCTTGGCATCATTTGTGGGTATTTCTTTTTCTCTCTCCCACACTCTCTGGCTTTATGACCCGATAATGACGTTAATGATGAGCTCGAGGATGTGTTGCATACTTTTTGGCAGCTTCAGTGATGCTGATGAGAAATCGTTGCAAAGTGCGCAGTAGCCGTGGCCACCTCAAACGAAAATAGGAAACCCCTTTGAAGTTTTTGGTTCCCTAACTCGGAGCTCCCTACTTTTCGCCTTCGAACTTTCTGTGCACTTCCGCTTCTGTCTGTCGTGCAGCACACAAAAAAAAGTGCAAAGAAAATAACGAACAAGTGAGCGCCATAAAGCATGCAATAAACATTTTATTGTAACAACTCGTTAAACGTGGACGTAAAAAATAAAGAAAACCAGTAGAAAAGACATGGACAAACCAGTAAAGAAAAGGCCAACAAACTCCTTCGAACAACCTTTTTTTGCCTCAACTATTTAGCATAAAATTTACTGCACCAAGAAACATTTGGCGCTTACGTAGGGTCCAGTCCAAGTCCCGTCTTTTGGCCTGCCCGTAAATCCTACTAATCAAATTTATTACCCATACACACACACACACACACACACACACACACACACAGGGAGGAACACAGCCACTGGCAGACTAACCGCAAGGGTGGTCTCTCCGTATGGCCTCCCTTTCTGCAACCCCCTTCGAACTGGTTGTGGTTCCCGGGCTGGTTCTCAGTCACTGGACTGGCCACTTCAAATGCCTTGGCAATATGCATATTAAATTTAATTAGTGCGACGGGTAAACATAAATTCAGCCACACGAAAAGGCTTCTCGAAGCTTGTTTGGAGCTATTTCCTAAAGAAATGGAATATAAAATAAACGCTGGTAAAGAAATGGGATAAACATTTCAAATTCAAAAGGAAATTTGCGGTATAGCAAAAACCGAAAAACGGTGAGAGGAGAATTGTTTGACATTCTACAATTGTATTGGCAAAGTTTTAGAAGTATTTGCCATTCGATGCTTCTACAAATAAGTCAGAATTATAGCACTCAAAAATATATATATTTACCCAATAATAAACACAACTAATTCCATTACCACACACCCCAATGTAAATGATAATGTTAAACCCATTTCAGAGTGTTTACCTCTAATGTGAGGGAGCCCCATTCCAACACACACTTTAAATACAAATCCCTTTATAATTCACATGGCGCCAAGGCAGCAGCAGGTCCTGGTTCTGGTAGATGGCAAAATGCAAGCAAAAATAAATGGCTGGCCTCCACCCCCACAAAAAAACAAAACCCAAAACGATGATGGCGTTTTCTGGCTAATTTTGATTATTTTACTGCCGGGCTCTTTGCTTAGAGTAGGTTGGGGGTATTCCAGCCACGTTAATTACCTCACAGACGACACTCGGTCTGGCCCAGGCCCAGAGCCAGAAGAGATGCACAGCACACGCCCATAAACAATTTGTTGTGTGTGCACTCAATTTAAATGGATACTGGGAGCAGCCTCAGCCTCAGTCCCAGTCCCAGTCCCAGCCCTAGTCCTGATAGAATTTGGGCTCATTTTATGCTCCTACCAGAGAGAGAGAGAGAGAGAGAGAGCTCCAGCCACCATGAATGTGACATTAATGAGCTCTTAGCTTATCCCAAAGGCTGATGCTGCTGCCGACGGAAACTTTATGGCTATTATTTGTCCTTGAATTCGTATTGGGACATACACACCGGAGAGGAGTTTGCGAGAGACAGAGTATGTTCATAATTAAATTGTTATTTGGATCCCCAACCAGCCGAGTGCTGGCTGCTCATTTGAAGGTTATAAAAGGTCGCCCCAGCAGTGGATGTGGATTCGAGTGGTAACCCGAGAAATGGATTTAAAAATTACTTTATCCGTTGAGGAAATCCCTCGTTTTAGATGTGGTTTTGCTATGTGTGGCCATGGCAACCCCTTTTGCCCTTCAATGGACAACAGACGACCCCTCTCCTCCCTCCTCCCTGGCTGTGTGTTGGTTAGTAAAAGTTTTTGATTTTCCAACAAAAGTTAAGCATAATCCCGTAGCAGGTAAGTCATCTGTTCAAAAGTTGGCCATAACTTGGCATTAATTTCATTAACATCATTTGGCCAGAGAGACTTTTTTATGGCAGGGCAGGGGCAGGGGCAGGGCTGGAAGGGAAGGGAAGAGAAGTCTTTCATTATCCCACAATGAAGTGTGGATTTAATTTGATTGCTCATTGTTTGGTGGCACGGAGGAACGGGGGCAATCCTTAGCTAAAAGCAACGCAACACCCCCGCACCGCCCTCTCAGTGGTCTCGTGGCACAAAGCGCAGAAAATGGTCACTGCGCTGGCTCTGTGTAGCTTATTGAGACCCCCAGAGACCAGAGACCCCTAATCAGATTAAGAACTTATTTCAAAATGCTTTAAGGCTAATGCAGATAATGCTAAGGATAAAGCTCATTAAACAGCGAGACATTACTGCCTCTTACACAGATGAAAGCCAGGTGTTCAAAGTGCCAAGCGATGGGTGTATAAAGAAAATGGCCATAAACAGAACCAAATGACTTAATGAATACAGGAATCAATGCAATGCAATGCAATGCAATGCCTTAAATCAAATTAAAGTCTTTATCACACCTCACACATGAGGCAGGGAGCAGTGTGGCTGCACGCTCCCAGCTCCCAGCTCCCAGCTCTCACTCCAATGCCAGATTGAGATTTATATGCCGTGTGTGGCATGTGTGTGTGTGTGCATCTCATAAATCTCAGCCCCAGCCACCCCAAAAACCAAAAGCCCCAGACACACTTACAAGCTCGTTTGACAGGGACTCCGGAGAGGAGGTGTGGGGACACCTCAATCTATGCCATGATGACGCCGAGATGCACAATTTACATGCCACATTTCGGGTGGCATAATGAAGTTGCATGAATGCTGTGCTGCTGCTGCTGCTGCTTGTGCGTGGCGTGTAATCAACACAAAACAGAAACACGAATGAATTTGATCTAAATCAATTCAATGAATGGCCCCCCACAACCGAAATGCAGATACTGGCAGACACATCAGAGGCGTAACGAAGGTTGCATGCATCCCGCATGCCGAATGCTCCAGCTAAAAATACAGTGCAACACAACACTCTCTCTTCACTCGCCGAGGAGGGGCAAAGGCAACACACACACACACATACACACACACAATAGCCTCCAAGGGATGGCGAGGCGAGGCAGCTTTGGGCTGTGATGGCGATAAGAGAAACAGAAACTCAAATTAAATTAAAATCTTTCAGTTTCAATTACGAGTTTTTGTGTGCTGTCTGACTGGATGGCTGTCTGGCACTGGCACTGGCGCTGGCGCACTGTGGCGCACTCCAATTTCAAACACACAAAACACAAATTGCATTCAAAATGCATTAAAAGCAATTTGCACGATAAAATTTGCATAAAACTCCGTTTGCCAAAAGCCAAAGGGGAAAGAGATTGTGGAAATTGGTGGGATGGCAAGCGAAACAAAATTATATTCCCATCAATTATAATGGCAATGACAAAAACCAAATGCAACCCAAGGTAAGTTGAAGTCGAAGTCGAAGTTGAAGGAACTTTTGCAAACGGAGAATAAGGGATGGATGCATGGGATGCATGGGTGTTTATGTTAGCGTTGCAGAACAAATTGCAGTGCACAAAGGAAAAAAATAAACACCACAACGAGGCATGCAACAAAGCCAGAGAGAGAGAGAGAGAGCGCACGTGTGCGTTCGCTGCCACCCGGCTGTCGGTGGGTGTAGATCATCTGCTTGCAAACAAATGTAGATACAATGTTGCATATGCATTTTGTGAGAGGGGAACCGAAGCCAGAGACCAGAGGATTCGGCATGCTTCGTTAGAGATGTGCTCGTGACGACCGCACGTTATTCTCTTTATGATTTATTTAAAGTCCAAAGGCACAGAGCGCCACAGGCACAACCAAATATATTTTTATAAGTTTTTAGAATTATTTTTTTAAATTTATATTTTATATAATTATATATATTTATTTTGTTCAATTTTTATCCCATTTTTGTCTTCCCTTTTTGTAGGCCAAAAACCTCTCTCGAATCTCCACACCCGAATGCCTCTTCCATTTCCACAGATGAAACATCGTTGGACATTTCACCATCTCTAATCAATGAAAGCAAGCAGCCCTTGGAGTGTGACTGTATATGCAAATTGTTGCTGTTGCGGACACGCTTCAAAGGTGCAACCGATTGCTGCCGCTGCCGCTGCTGCACTCAAGGTGGCGGCGGCGGCATTGGCATTGGCGTCAGAAGGACGCATATGGCAGGCGCTGAATCCTCACCCCGAGAATCCCAGCCGAACAGAATTGAGGGAAGAGCAGACTAGCAGACAGAAGAGAATGGCAGACCGACAGAGAGATTGGCAGGGCAGACAGATTGCAGTTGCAAGCAGCCGGCGCCTGCTCCTGCTCCCTGCTCCCTGCCACTGCTACTTCCACTCCATGCGTCTCTCCCTTTTCCACCAAGTGACAACGACATTGTCGAAGGTGTTTGAATATCCAGCAATGGGAAGGCTTTTGTCTCTCCAACGATGGGACTGGGCTGCTGCTCTCTCAACCCCCTCTGCCCTTCAAAGAGCATTGAATTATTGCTTGCTGCATGCTACAAATCAGCCATAAAGTTGCCACACCACACAGCTCCGCTGGTGGGCAAAACGATTGCACTGCAGCAGCAGCACATCAGAACACAACACAACACGGCAGAAGCGATAGATATATGGCTTGGATAAACATTGTTCTTCTTGTTCAACAGAATTCCGATTGGTCTTTAAAGTAAATTTGCAATCTTGTTTATAAGTTGCACAGTGCAAAAAGGGCAAGGGGAATGGAAACCCCAACCCACTGGCGAATGTAATTCGGAAATAGATAACTTTTGGGCAAGGGCTTACTCTTGGAATTTGCATTTGATTTTCGACAGTAATTTACTTTGCGGAAGTATTTGTAACTGGATCAACTATCGATTGGTTAAGTTAAACTGGGGAACGGAAAACTGCTTAAAATTATTCAAATAAATCGAGTGAGCAGTAGAAACAATTGGCAGCCAAGAAAAGCCTAATTTAATCCGTGTTTGTCGTTGCCTTGTCCAACATTTACACAGTTCTTCAATCTACAGAACAGAACGAAGTCTTCTCTCTGTCGACGTGTAGATCCCACGCGATGAATGCCCAAAAAATGGAAGGAAGGAATCCAAGCCAAGGACTGGCTTGTCTCTTATCCGGCCACTGCCCTCGGTTCTAGTCTTGAATGTTTTTATTTCCTTTTTTTTAGAGAAGTATAAAATCCATGTACACGAAGAAGAAGGAACTTTTTTTTTGCTGGTGCTGTTGCTACTGCTCCTTCGGAACTTGTTTCGCCATTGTGCAAACTTATTTTCCTTTTATCCCTCCTCCGTCGCCATTTGCCGAGATTGTTTGAGAGTATAATCTGCTAATTGGAGCGGAAAATTAGCAAGTTTTATTGATTCGCCTGCAAGAGATTTATTGTATCAACAATACGCTATATACAAGCAATATTCGCAGCAGTACTTGCCCCCAGCGCTTTGAACCAACAAAAAGTTTAGGCAGGCAAAACAAAACAGTGCAAATTCAGTAGAAAAAGCTCATCTTTAAAATCTCTTTAGATATTTCTATAGATGTATATTTGCAGCATATACTTTTTTTGTGGCTCTTTCATTATTTTAAAAGCGGATTACAAAACATCTCACTCTCTCTCTTTCTCTCGAACGAAACACGGAGCAAAAATGCCTTCCAGCAGTACTACATTTTTAGCCAAAAAAAAAAAAAATATAACTAAAAGGAAAAAATATAGCAGTTGGTGAGGGAGGTTTTCCCTTAGCTAAATCGGTCATGATACGAGTAATCCAGTAGCGAAAACAAAAATGCATCTCAGCGCAAAACAAAATGAAACGAAGGATGTGGGAGGAGAGGCAGCAGGCAGCAGGCAGCAGGCAGGAGTGCTCGTACTCGTACTCGTATTATGTATTTCATTTTGGCATTTGCCGCAAACACTCCAAATGCATTTGCCATTCCCCCATAGATACATTCTCTCCCCTCCCCGCACAGTGTTGGTTTGTATCTTTTTATTGAAACCCTGAATGAGTGCAGGGGACGAGGGTGGGTTGTGCGGGAGAGATGGCTTTCTGGGGGGCAAAACTCCTGCCGGAAGCGTGGATTTTTAATGCATGCTGCCTCTTGCCTCTTGCCTCCGCACTTGTACGTAACATGGAGTTTCCTTTTGGCTCTGCTGCGAATGTAGACACATGTTTCTATTTCTTTTCCTACAGTTGGGAAAGTTGTGGGTGTGGTATCCACGGGGCGTGTTCCACATATCAGAACGTCACACGCTGGTTTTTTCTTCCATTCCTGCTGCTTTTCAGTGCTTATTTTTTTGTTGCTTTGCTTTCTGATAGTTTGTTTGTTGTGCTCATGTAAACGACTCCACTGTACAGCAATCTTTTTCGCTTTGTTCTTTTACTTGTTTTCTTTTTCCTTTCTTAATTTGCAGACACACTCTTACCTTGCCCTAGATGATGATACAACGATCCTAAGTGGCAGGAAAACGAGTCCGTTTATTGATTTGCAGTTAATGGTCATTCTGGGAAATGATTCGCTATTCAATCTCAGCTTCATTGGATGGATAATCTTTGTTTTATCAATACTAACTTATTTTTTAACAAGTAAAATAATATTTCTCAATTTTTCATTGTAATTTTGTTATTTATTTGTATTATTTCTTTACTATATCTTTATTTATTAATGTTTATTATTATTATTTGATTATTACAATTATTTATTCTTTTTTTAGTTTTACTCTCACAATAGTTAGTAGCTCTTTGTAGATCACAGGGAATTTACTTTTCCTAAATTAATGTGGCCCTTAATTATCTTTCCATGTATTCCCCCCTGCCTCTGACTCTTTCATTTTCACGCCTAATTGGACACTTGACTTGTGCCCCAAAAAGTCAAAGCCCCAACACACAAAAGCGAAAGAAAGTTTTCCGTAATTGCGGCAACTACAAGCATCTTGAAAGCAGGTGGGAATCCCTGTGGCACATGCCGCTGCCATCCTTTGACACTTTTACTTTTTCGAATTTCCATTTTCCTTTTTCGAGCAGAGCTTTTGGCTCTGTTGGAAAAGTAAATCTCGAGGCGCGGAGTTGTGCAATGCGAGAACTTAATCCCAGTGTCGCAGGAATTCCGTGACAAATAGTTTGTGCTGTCGGCAGAACGTAGATACATATGTATCTATGTAAATACATACTCGTTTGTAGCTCTGTCGCTTCGGAGTGGCTTAAAGCCCGGAGGCAAAGCCTGTATCACGTAGCAAAACGCGATTTTGTCACTTGCAACTGCAACTTACTTTCGACACGTTCACGTCGAATGCATTTGCAACATGTGCACCCGGCTGGCCTCCCCCTTTTAAATACCCAGCACTGCTGGGCAGGGGCCCAGACAGACAGGCAGACAGGCAGACATTTGCATTTGCATTTGGTCTCGCCCTCTTTTGGAAAAGAGAGCTCAAAAGAGATACAAATGTATCTGGGCTGTGCGCTGCCAGCCGGGCGGCAGCGAGTGTGTGTAGTGCCTGTGCGTGGCATGCAACGCCCCTGAAAAACACTCTTCTGTGTGGCGCCTCTCTCCCGGCAGGGCCAGAGGATGGATCGTACGCTGTGTTTACACTCAAATATTTCTCGTTTTATAGCAATGCGGTTACCAAGCCCCACACTCCTGCCTCGTACCCTCGTCAAGATTGCCCGACACTCATCGTTAAAGTTTTTTTAGTGTAGAGTAATTAGTATTTTCCATGGCGTTTTCTCGTTTTTACTCGGGTTTTGTTGTCGGGCAGTGTTTGAAATAGTTTGGAAAATCCTTTGCGGCTAACACTAATTTGATGGTTTGGCTTGTTTAATTTTTGTATATTTTTCCCCCTTTGATATCCAGGAGATAAATCCCACATAATGTGAAAATAATTGCTGTGGGAAAAACAGGAAGGGATAGCAAAGGGGTAAGGGTAAGGGTTTCCAGTGGATTGAATTACGAAATGGATTACTTTGGTTTCTGTTTCAAAATGAATTAAACCGTGGTTTCGATCTATACGGCAAACGCCAAAACTATTTCATTTCGATTGTGAAAATATCAATTATAAAACTGTGGGCCATCTCTTGATGCTAGAATAATTATAATAATTGCAATTAGTACTCTGAAGAAGTGGAATTCCTTGCTGAGATTCAAGCTGTTCCCATAAACTCAGCAACTGTTTTAAAAATATAAGAAAGTTCTTTCCAAAATGTACATTCACTCCAATCAATGCAGTATGATAACTCCATAAAACACTTGCCACTTGCCTTGGTGGCAGTTGGGCTTACATTTCCACAACTTTATCGCTGGCTTCACTCACAGAAATCCCAAAGTCTCCGTCGTCGTCGATGGTTACTGTGGATGCAATTGAATTCAATTACTTAACGAAACTGTGTCGAATTTTGCACAGACAACAGAGAGAGAGAGAGAGAAGCAAAGACAAATATAGAAATAATTTTCTCAATTGAAATTGTTCGATGTTTCAGCAGCAGGAGCAGCAGCTGTGGAAAGAAAAAGGGTCCGGGGGGCACATTGATAATCGTCAAATGTGTTGAAGCTGAAACTGAAGCTGCTCCAAGCAACTGTTACAACAGTGGCAGCTGTTGCACGTGCAACAGCCCACCACATCCCTCCTCTTCTCTATGAACAATTTGTATTCGCATCTTTCAGACAATTCTTTCGCCAGTTGCCAGCAAGAACAAATGCTCTTAAGCAAACTGTCAAATGCATTTGGAATTTTTCGCTTCATTCCACTTGACTTTCTGTGTATTTTCCGCAGCAGCAGCCGTAGCCGCAGCCGCAGCCGCACCCCGCACCACCGCTCCCTCCTATAATAAATAAATACATATACATATGTGTGTAATATAAAACTTTGATGGTAATTATTTTTCCAGAACAGCACCCGCATGGAATTCCCCCCACATGGGAGCCACAGCAGCCATAAATTGAAATACACTCCTCCTCCACACACACCACACAAAGAGGCTGCAGCGGCAGCATCAAGTTGGGTGTGAAAAATGAAAAGCATCTATAATCTAATTTTATCATTATCACAGTTGTCTGCGCTAAGTGACGTCATACGCTGTGCATGTGCAGAATTAGCTGCTGTTGCTCCGCGTCAGGCAGGAGTCGAGTGAAGAGTCGCAGATGAAATGAGAGAAATTACAGCAGCGAATATTGGAGTGCAGGTTGAGACATTTTGCATTACCATTAGACAGTGACAGTATTGATTGCAATGCACTCAAATTAGTGCACAATTATCCATGGAACATGCAAAAAAAAGACAATTCATTTGAATGTGAGTCGCAAGATCAATCTTTAATTAATTGGCTCTTAACTTTCAGAGCTCCCATTTCTTTTACTCCCTTTAAAATACTTCAAAAAACCCACAGAATGTAGTCCTTTTTGCGTTGCATCAATTATCATACCCTGTAATCGCATACCTACAGGATATTAAAAGTGGAAGCCCTGTCAGCGAAATGGGGAAAAGTGTATTGTTGTGTTGGAAACATCGCCTGGCACTTGACTTTGCCAACGGCAAAAGCAAAACCAAATGCTGCAGCTATTTCATGCAGCACTCATGGCGACTTTTGTTTTTGTCAGCGGTACATCGTACGTACACATAGAGAAAGTGGGGGAGAGTCGGCAGTCAGTAGTCAGTAGTCAGCAGTCAGCATCCTGCTTAACGTTTCGCCAGTTGTCCTTGTGCTCATTGTGGAGCTCTATGCTAGTCCTTGCATTTCCTGTCTATTCCTTTTTGCCTTCCTGTGTCTGAAGTTAAGTGCAACTCTAACATTGTGCACCCGAGAGATAGCACGACATTCCATTGTTGTGCTGACTGCTGCAAAGACTTAATTCACCCTCCCTCCTGCTCGCTCACAGGCCAGAGCCAATTGGGGAGAAGTCCTCTCTTTCTCGAGGGGAGTCAGGGTTCAACTAACCGACTCTATTACGCAGTGTTGTTGCTCCTATTGTTGCTGTCGCCATTCAACGCAAATGGCGACAACATTCAGACACTCTGTACTAAAAATAAAAAACATCACAGAAAAGTGGATCCCATGGGTGTGTGCGGGAGGGTGGTGCAGGGTTAAGCTGCCACAAAAAAAGTGCTAGCTGGCAAGATTCCGCAAAACTTTAATTTGATAAGCTGCTGAAAATAAATTGCAGCACAAAAGTCGAGAGTCGGGGGGGTCACTCCTTTTTTTGAACCGCTGAAAAGTTAACTGGAAAAAGTCTTTAAATGTGAATACAAGCAAAGTTTTGTGTGTCAAACCTTCATTCAAACGACATTCTATTCAAGTAGCTCTTTTACGTACCTGAAATGAGAAAAAAGGGAAACAAAATTGCTTAGAAAATGATCATTGGAAATTCCCTTGTAAATCCCTTAACCCAACATATTCTAGTGGCAACTATAATGAGCCCCACGCACAAACAATTACGAATGCAGAAAGAACTCGTAAACTCATTTGTTTACCTTACCGCACAATGGGCAGGGCAGGGCAGGAACTGGTGCTCCACCACTCACACATGTCAGAAATACTCGTAATTACGGGTATTCATTTTTCCCTGCTCTCCCTGGCAAGAGGTAAGAAATCAATTACCAGACAAAGGGGTACGGGCAGTAGTCTAGTCAATGAACCGCAGAACGAATGACATGCAACATGAACAATGTTGACCTCGACCCTAAGCCTGTGCCCCCGAGTACACGCCCAAGTCTAGTAATTCATGCATCATTAAGGCAGAGACAGTGAAATAAAAAGAACACAACATCTCGCTATCTCTCTCACAAACAATATCAACAGCAATAATAATGGCAGCAGCGACAGCAGCCAACAGCTGCTGTAATTAATTCCATGAAATTTACGAGCAGCAGCCAATGTGGGGGAGCGATAAACTCTGCAAGACTCTGCAATGACCAGATGACCCAATGGTTTGCAGAATCTAGTACAATATTTAACTATCGATTTTACAACGATTAAAAGTATTGCTCCTGTCATGAATGGACAGAGAGAGACGTGCCAGTACTGTCATTCGATAATTGTCATAAATCAACAACACAATTTCATCGCACCACAAACATTAATCGATTTCAACTGCATTTGTTTATGTCAAAGCATTTATTTGAAGCCAGAAAATAATGTGAATATTCGCATAATTTTCGATCAAAGTGCTAAAATACCTGCCACAGATTTATGCATGTAAATCAACAATGAAATTGATATATTTGACCACTTGATTTATCGTATACAATTCTGGCGCAGAGATTTGTCATAAATTTGTACGAGCTTTTCGACCTGCTGCTGGAGTGTGCATTTTTATGCGTTAAAGAACACAATTTGGTTTTTGGATTGGAGATTGGAGATTGGAGATTAGAGATTGGATTGGACGCAATCAACGATTTATGTTATCGCTTTGTCTTGCCCATACACACTGACTGGACTGACTGACGGACTCGTTTCACATCTGTTAAATGTTTACATGCCTAATTATGATTTATTTGAGGCAATCATTTTTCCCAGCTGCCAGTCTGCCAAGTGGCAGCAGCAGCAGCAGAAGCAGCAGACGAGAACGGAAGTGGGTCCAAGCCAATCCATAGACCACACCACTCCACTCCACTCCACTTTACTCTTTTCCACTTCTCTCTTTCTCTCTATCTACTTCCTGCTGCTGTTCTTACAGTGAGGGATGATGGTCTCAAGGCGCACAAGGACACAGCACAACAACACACCATGCCATTCGGTGGCACTCAGACTCGACGACTCTGAATGTCCCCATGGCCGCCGTGCTGCAGTGTTTGGCTCTTTGTTTATCTAAGTTAATTACAGCAAAACATTTTTAGGGTCGCCTCGTATCTCTATCTCTATCTCTCTCTCTTTACTACTGTGTGTGTGTGTGGGCTGGGCGGTTCACGCATGTTTGGGTGCGGACAGTTCCGCTGATTAATTGCCGCTAAGCATACAAGCCGCCATTATTCAACCGCCATGCCACGAAAAGGCCCACAGAATACACAACATGTAGAGCGAGAGCCAAAGAGGGTGGCAGTTACTCGTACCATCTATAAACCCGTACATAAAACAGATCCCCACATAAACGAAATGGAGAGTATAAAAATGGAACCAAAAAGGTTTGAGCCAAGAGCTCTCTGAGGCGGCTTACTTTAATGAGTGGCTTACGCCACTGCAGATCTAGAATCTAGATGAATGCTCGTTGATTTGCAAGCTATTTAATTTCAATTTGTACCTTAAGCCAGTTGGAATAAATTTCAGGTATAGCCTGGCGCTTCCCTCTACTTTCGACCTTGATTTGCCTTTTGTTAGTTGCTGCATTTTTAGAACTATCAGCAATCAATCATCAAATACAATGCTTGCTAGCCTTTGAACTGTCCGCCTTTCCACAAAAACATCAGATAGAAAGAAGTTTCCGTAGAAGAAAGCAGCGACAAATGTCAAACAAGTAAATCAATTGTTCAGCAGCTGTGGAGCAGTGGAGCTGCTGGTCTTCTCATTCAATTTATTTTTTAGTATAGTATTTTTGGTGGCTAATTTAATCAAGAAGTAAATTATGTGAATAGGTGAGGTCTTTGATTGAATTAAACATGCGAGCGTAGCAGTGGCAGACCTGAACCCTGGACGACACCACAGTCGCAGTCGATGCGAATTGATTGTGGAGTTCCTGCCACTCGCACAGGCGCATCCTTGGAGAGTCTACTCAACCTCC